ACGCATTTCTCCGCCCCAGAGAACATTTTTACTCTACAAGATCCTTCTAGCGTCACCTTCTTCTTCTCATCCACACATCGGTTTCGCTTACAGCTACGTAATTACTGTATAATCGATGATATTGCGATCGGATCCTGGTTTGTACCTGTCTGCGCTTACTCTATCAGGGAAAGCGTAGCGAAGCCGTAGAGCATCTGACCCTGAGAGGGGATGGATGGGATGGGATGTAATCGAGGGTAGGGTAAAGACCCGCTGTATGTCATCTGGTGATTGAGTCAGTGCAGTGCAGTGCAGTGCAGCTATATTCGCCGTGGCGTAGTGTCAGCATCCTAACCTAAGTAACTTATACCATACCGGCTCAGCTTATTCTTTTAGTCTCCGAAATGGTGATTCTGATCTTGTTCTTTCCAGCAACGTTGGCGAAAACGTTGGAGCCATTCCCGAGTAGGAAAATGCAATGCTTGTGCGCTTAACTTCGCGCGCGGCGTGGCATGGTTCTTTGACACTCTTAGGCGCTTTGATGTACTATGTGCGAACGAACTGGCCATTCGGATCATTTCGATCATCCACCCATCTGATCGAGGCGGGGCCGGGACGATGGGCAGGACATATAGCGACGTGGCGCGTGCGTCTTGGATGTCAGTGCATTGAGGGACATAGTTGGCATCATCGATTTTGCCTAACGCTTGGTGTTGACTAACGGGTGGACTTCCGCTCCGCGACTGCATGCTCGAGCCCCATCGGGCTTATCGTAGTAGTGTGTATCTTGGCGCCAACGTGAGGGCTGGGCATGCTGTACATGACTCCATGATGATAGCGAAGCATGCGAGAGAGAGACAAACAGCTCATGTGTTGGTGCTTTGGACGTAGTATGGGGCTATATTTCTCTGGTTGTTGCCATCCTCAATCGGTGCTGGGTGCATCTAGAGCTGGTTTGCCTCATCTGTCTGTCCCCTTCCTCTGGGCTTACCTACCCTGGAGGACCCTCGAGCAGGCTATTTCTCCTTGCACGTCGCAAGTGCAGTTGGTAAATGCTTAGACCATAAGACTATGAGCCCAGTATACTGATCGTTGTGAGGTCGAGTCACCAAAGAGATACTCACTCGCCAACAGACAAACTGTCTCGAGGAACAATTTAATCGCAAACACTATCCATTGTTCATCGCTCTGCCTTGTGCTATGCCTAAGGCAATCACGGTAAATCAGCAGTTCCAGTGTCCAGAACGCATGCTACCCGGGACGGGAAAGCTCTCTTCCTGCGCACGATGATAGACCCTGCTGAGAGTAAATCTCTTTTCGTCCTCAATGGCCTGTGGAAAATGGCTTGCTAATTACGCTCGAGTCCGAGCTGGCAACCCTGGATACATCGAACTCATGCTCATGCGCGCCCTCGTCCTGGTTACAAAAGATGGGATGCGAGTATTTCTTCGGAAGAGACCGAATCGGCCTATTAATTGTTCTTGCAGTGACTCTCTCTCTCTCTCCTGGGTATAGCTTACAGCAGTGATGGCCTTTCGAGATGTATGTTTAAGCGCGAAAGAATATGTGAGGAGAGACGGACACTCCCAGAAGGCCATTCACAACCAACTACACATTTAGTAGGCCCAGCAAGACATCAAAGCCTGGTGACAACGAAGCGTGGACCGAGGAAGTGTGAGATTCTCTCCGCATTCTCAGAGCTGGATTGATCTTCGATCTTCGATCTTCTAGTTCTGGTCGGCGGAGAATACCACATTTCTAGAAGACCGGATGAACCTCTGGAATTCGCAGAAGCGGGGTTTCAGGGTTGTTCCGTTGCGTCGCGCTGAGTGGAAAAGACGATGAGATGTCCTCATCTACACCCAAGAAACGGAGACTGCTGAGGTGCTGATGCTGTACTATACCCTCAATTTGTACGAACTCATTGAAGGGCAGATGATGACAGGACATATAGGTCTTCCGTGCTGTCGTCAGAGTTGTACCAGAAAGAGTCGATTTCGCTCTTTTCAGCCTGGTGCAGCTTCCAGTGCCATGCCATGTCGACTGTACCCGAGTAGGCCCATAGGGCTCACAGCAGCTCAGCTCCTTTGTTAGCCACTGTCGCGGGAAGGGGAATTGTGGGCTGTCGCTGTTCGATTTCCTATTTCTTTTCTTATTGTTCTTCGCGGTGCGGTTCAAAGGACAATGGAGTGCACTGTTCGATGCCAGATGCAACACACCTACGCAGACCGAAATAATTTACGAAGCACTGAAGAACAGACCCCGAAGACCCTAGTGGCGAAGCTAAACATATGATCTGTTTGAGATCCTGTGCGATCATCCCTTTCTACATTGTGCTATACCCCCAACCACGATTGCAATGCTCTTGTATGGCATATGACACGATAAACTTGTTGCAGCACTCAACACAAAAGACAGACTCTTGCGGGCCGAGTGAAGCAAGCCATGGCAACCTTTCCAGGTAAGGTGAGGCCGAGAGCTTCCATGTCGACTGAGCTCGTTCGGCAGGTAGCACTATACCTCAGAGTACCTCTAGTGTTTGTTATTATAACATGCTGCCCGACAAGTACCCAGAGCAGCGAAAATGGCGGTGATGGCTAGAGTAGGAGGCCTGCCCACAGACAACGGCGAATTATGACCAAAAACCTGTCTCGGTATTGTTTGTATGTGGAAAGTGGTAGAACGGGATCCGGAATGCTATATGTCCATGTAGTCCGTTCATGTAGTATGTTCAGATTGATTCTGATGAGCTAGGGGCAGATAGGTCAAGAGCCTAGGCAATGCTCGGAGGGAATTGAGGACTAAGAGAAGCGAACGATATGTTGTGTAGGAATGAGCACCTGCAGAGAGCCTATCTCCGATACTCTACCAACCTTCAAGCTAAGTAACGGAAAGTGGAAGCCTGACGGAGCATGTTCCAGTTCCCAGGCACTAGCAAAGGGAGGGCACCAATCACGATGCGGTGGTGCTTAGCTCTGCGGATAAAGCAGCCGCTCGGGCCCGCTAGTAGGCAAGCGCATCCCGGGTAATTCCAGGATAGCCCTGAGGATGTAGCTATACTCTGTCGACTCTTGGATTTCCGGCCAGTATCTGGATCCTTGGTAATATTCTCTGCTTTGAAGAACGATACGTTCCTGATGTTATCGATAGTTCAGCCAGCCAATGATCAGGGATGAACCTGCATGGCTTATTGATCATTCTGCAAACATGCTACTGTCTTATAGTAGATGGAAGAACATCATATCAAGGGTTCGGTCTCAACAGTCATCTTCCATTTCTCCTCCAGTTGACATTGACAATTACCAAGATCCGTGCGCATTCGCAGGCTCGTGAGAAACGGGAAGAATTGCTTAGCTGTTCCAAGCAAAAGTGTACTCCGCTTCTTTCCCATCCAGATTTGTTGACTTCTCGTGCCGTTATAGTTGGAAGGTGATGTGGTCTGATACATCCCTTATAAAGGTGTCAATGTCCTCATAATCCTGTATCCAAGCCTGTGTCTGTTTCATGCCCTCTTCAATGATGCCATGTCTCAGGTCTCGGTTTGAGGAGAGATCTTCCTCGAAGAGGGCGATGGCCGAAACCCTGTCTCCATCTTGAATGACCACGCACGCAGGCGTCCTGAATCGGCAAAGGCACTATTCTTGGACCGCCCAGTCGCTGATTTCGGCACTGTGAACGGCCTTATCACCGACATGAATCGACTGCAGCCATCTGAAATGGGTGGAGGAGAGGTCAGTTCTGCGTCGGGCGTCAGCTTCTGTCGACCCAACGCAGAGGAACGAAAACGCCTGCAGGAGGACATAAGGGAATGAGATTGGCTGATAGAGTCAACAGACAGCCCACTGTATGCCTGATCGGGTTTAGCCCGTACCGGGGAAATGCCGCTGTCGGTTAATCAAGAATCTCATTTGTCGAATTCCTTCCCCCCTCTTCCGGTGTTACATTCTGAAAACCACCGACTTATCTGGCAGTGTGCAGGAGTGACAGTACTGTACACGGGCAGCAGGCCAGAGTGACAGCGCCCCGGGCGCACACGGCAATATGCTGCAGCATGTCAAAAAAACGAAGGACTGCATAGATAGGGGATACCCGAAGAAATTCAATAAGTAGTAGGTCAGCAGTGGAACGATGTGAATTAAAGAAGTACTGTACATCATGCATGAAATTTAGGGTTCTAGCTGAGGCGATGACCTGTTGCTCAGCTTCCGTGAACAGCACCCCCTAGTAGGATGCACACGGCAAGCAAAGCTCCGGACTGGGCAAGAGGCCGAACCCGACTGTCTGGGTCCAGGTTCCTGCGCCGGCTTGAGTGCTGATCGCCTCCTGATCCGTGACGCGACTAAAACCTATCGATTCTGGCGCTAGTAACATCTCGGGTCTGGGCGTGCAGCCAGCGGGTGTTCGGCCGGGTGCAGAATAGTGAGGTCGAGGGGAGGTAATTGGTAACGGAAGGTAACTTTTTGGTTCCGGCCAACCCTCTAAACCTCACGCTGCACCGGTATTCTTCTGGTACTCTTCTGGTAATATTCTGGTATTCCTATGGTATTCCTCGGGTATCCTCCACGCCCCGTTCATCCCTAGAATACCCAGCTAAAACATTAGCGGGCAGTCCGTGGGTGTTCTAGCAATATTACAGCTCCGTAATCCGGGATGCCCCTAACCAACAGAAGCTGAAGCCTGACGCCCACAGACCCGTGGGATCCTCAGGAGCCCCGACGTATGGATCACAAGCAAATACCTTATTCTTTCCATCAGACAAGTATCAGATAATGAATTGATTAGCAACTCACTAGACTATCTAGGATCACATCCCAAACAGCTGTGTTTCTGAAGGGAAAAAAAGGTAGGGGATGACGGGCATGAAGCAAAGAGAGCAAAAGAGATGAGCTCATACTCCGTGCAGTTCTGGAACTCCAAAAAAGCTGCCCGTGACTCCGCCCACACTGCCCACTGACTACTGCTGCTCTCTCTTCTTTTCCTAACTTTCTCTTCTCTCTCCCCGCTACTCCAAAAATTAACTACACTTAGTCTTCTTTTCTTCCCTCTCCTTACCCCCTCTCCAATCTACCTCCTTCTTTGCTTTTTCTTCTGGCCTTCCCCCCCCTCATCGTGAGCCAGTTTCACCACGCGCACTGCGCTCGTATGCAACCCCGCCTTTTTCAGCTTCACCCTCCTCCGCTTGGCTGAACCCGCGCTATTGCAGACAAGCCACGAGCTCACCTCCCAACCCCCCTTCCCCCCTCTCCTCCCTCTGTCTCACTTCATGGATCGTATTCCTCCGCCACCCCTCGCCATGGATCGAATTCCGCCCTCTTCCTCCTACCCCACGCCTGGGTCCGCCGGCCCAGTGCCCCCCGCCATGGCCTCCGCAGCCCATCTCTCTCCGCTCACCACCGTTCACGAGGGTCGCATTTGGGCCCTACAAGTGGTACAGCAGCCGATTCGCGCCCGCATGTGTGGCTTCGGTGACAAGGTCAGTCTTGTCCATACCCGCAAGCGCCTTCGGGCTAGCGCATGGATCTGAATTTTTCGTTTGTCGCATTGTGCTCGAACTCTTCTTCAGGCGTTGGAAAGGACCGGAGATCTTGGATCCATGCGACTCGGATATTGGTCCGGATGCAATTCCGTTGGCAAGAGAATTGCTAGGCAGAGGCATGGAGTCCGATTGGGTTGTCGCCAAACCTGCATGGCTCGGATGGTTCGTGAAGCTCGGGGACGCTGAGTCGCGAACGCATTGAAAAGACAATCTCAGGTCTTGTCTGCAATTGGCTGCTTCTGACTGCTAGCGCTCTTTTGATGAGACTCGAAGTCGCATGGATCTGAGTCTTGGGTTTGACCTGTTCTTGGATGAAGAGAATTCGGCACGTGACAGACGTTCTTAACCCAGAGCCAGGCGCTGTGTTCTTGTCAAATCGTCTTTACATTTGCTGACTATCATCAGGATCGACGACCCATCACGCCTCCTCCATGCATCCGTCTCATTGTCCGGGACGCTCAAACTGAAAAGGAAATCGATATCAAGTAAGTCGACGTCCCGGGTTCGCTGATGGTGATGCGACAAACACTAATCAAATTGAACTAGTGAGATTGATACCTCCTTTTATGTACTCATGGTCGATCTGTGGAATGCCGAGGGGACGAGCGAAGTCAACTTGGTGAAGCACTCGGCCACCTCTCCGTCGATATCTACCGCCATGTCCTCGTCATACCCGCCCCCGTTGCAGAACGTCTCACCCTCGTACCCTCCGTACGCGCAAAATGCCTATGGTCAGCCTGTCGGTTACCCGCACATGAATAACTACTACGCCGGAAACCCGCAACTTCAATACCAAAACCCCTATGGAGCGAATCCGCAAGCCCAACCTTACTACCCCTACTACGCCGGGGGTCACATGCCACCCGCCAACATCTCCCCAGCGCAGCCGGTTACCGCCGCTCCAGGTGCTGGCATGTTCACGCGAAATCTCATCGGCAGTTTGAGCGCCAGTGCATTCCGACTGACGGATCCGGAGAACAAGATCGGTGTCTGGTTCATTCTGCAGGACCTGAGTGTACGGACAGAGGGTTCCTTCCGGTGCGTGCTTTGAACAGTAAACTCCCCTGCTGTGCTACTGCTTAGCTGACTTTTCCTCTGCAGCCTGAAAATGAGCTTCATCAACGTGGGCACCCAGTCCGGGGAATCTCCCAATGGCGTGTCAGTGATCAACCACGGGGCAGCGCCCGTACTGGCATCCGTATTTTCCGACCCCTTCCATGTATACTCCGCCAAGAAGTTCCCCGGTGTCATCGAAAGCACGTCTCTCAGCAAATGCTTCGCGCTCCAAGGCATCAAGATCCCGATCCGAAAGGACGGCGTCAAGGGATCGCGCGGGCGGCACAGTGACAACGATGACGGTGGAGATGATTATGACTAGAAAGCCGATGATGCGCTTGTCTGGTCAATGAGATTGGCCTTTTCCTTGATTTGCTTCTTTTTGCTGTTTGCCTAATACCTCCTCTGGCGCAAAGTTTTATGGGTTCTGGTAATATGACCTGGGTTCCTGGGAATGCGGTGTTTCTCTAAAGGGACTGGTTCCGGGGTTGGGGAAGGGGTTTGTTTTCATCAAACGGATTGGGTGTATTGGTATCGGTATCGGGACCGGTGTCGCGGGCTTTCCTATTTGTGCCATTAGTTTTCTACTACTTTTTTTTTCCTTTGCTCTATATCTCTTCCAGTCCTTACTTGTGCTACTCGGTGGTCTCTTTTTCTCTTTGCCTTATTAATTTTACCCTCAATGCTTCCGAGTCTGTGTTGCTGCCCCTCTGTGCGAATCCTGCTATGCTTTCCTTACCTGCGTGTGCCCCCGTGTATAACTTGGGTAGAAGACAGTCAGTCGAATGTCTAAACTGGATCAACTCTTCATCCTCAACAACCTCGTTTTCTTATATGTTTGTGCCCAAAGGCAAGGGGCGGGGGATGAGTCTTCAATTCTGACCTTTGTGGGTGAGCATCATGGTGCATGCACGTCAACCACTGCATCTCATTCTCATAATAATTCCCATGTACTGTAGCTGTACTGTACTGTACCTTCTCTCTTCGCCTCTTCAGAAGCTCTAATGAAACCCACTGCAAGCAACAGCCTCTTTGTTTCTGTCTCTTGAAGCTTCAAGGTCTGGAGTTCCTTTCGCAGCTAGCGGAAGATAGCGAATCGCATTTCCTTGCTACGCTTGGCTCTTGGCTCTATATTGGTGCTTCTATCAATCCTGTTGGTGGACAGTACTTGAACGTTTGTCCTTTACCAGATTGAATAGGAATACTCTGAGTTGAGGGGGAGCATGGGCAGGACCAACGACTTCGTGCACCTAGATGGGTCTAGTAGGGTTATGTTGACTGTATGTACTGTACATCTCAGGTGCGTTTCGACACAATGACCCGCGCGCCATCGTGCAACAAGAGCAAGCACGTGGGGTCAGTCCCCGGGGCTGGCCTGTATCAGCCATGTCTCAGGGTACAGGTTACCCTGCTGCAGTTGACTTGACTGCTGACTGCCAGGCCGAACATGGTTTCACTTCATGGTTTCGTTTCTAGACTACCTACCACGATGAGCCTAGCAGACTAGGGCGTTCATGGCTGCGGTCTCGGGTAGTGAAGTAATTCTTGCTAGATACTTAGATTCGAGCAAAAGTGTGGAGAGGATACGCAGGGTCAGCTTATCCATTGCCCCCCCCCCCCCCCCCTCTTTCCCATGTGTTTATCTTACAACCAAAGATAGCTGAAAGCACGTAGCACATACTGTCTCGAGGGTGAAAAACAGGGTATCTGGTTCTATATACTTTGTTCATCGAGTTAAAACACAAACAAAAAGCTTTTTTTCTTCTCCGACATTAGTTGCGCCATATCCGTACGGCCTTGTCCTTGCCGCCACTTCCCACCTTCTGTCCGTCGGGACTCCAGTCCACCGCGAACACTTCATCCTTGTGTCCCGGCAGGTCCTCGGAGAGCTTGCCCGTGCGGACGTTCCACACCTTCAGGGTCGTGTCTTTCGACGAGGAGACGAGCATGCGGGAGTCGGCGGAGAAACAGCATTGGTAGACGGCTCCGACGTGGCCGCGGAGAGTGGTGATGAACCTATGGGGTGGTATACGTTAGTGTCGAGGCCCCAGGACCAAATAAGAACGGAAGGCTGCACTCACTTTCCATCCCGGGCATTCCAGAGCTTGACGTGGTTGTCGAATCCCGCCGAGGCGATGTACGCCATATCCGGCGAGAATGTGACATGGTTGACCTCCTTCTGGTGACCGAGCAGTCGCGCGACGGGCTTGCTGGAGTTCTCCGGCTCCCAGAGATACATGGTGAAGTCGTCGCTGGCCGAGACGAGCTTCTCGACGATCTTGTTGTTGATGGTGGCGGCGTGCTCGTACCGCTGCTTCGCGGCGGCGACCTTCTCGGCGTCGGCCTGCGGGACTTGGCCCGTGTGGTCGTGGTAGGCGGTCCGGAGGACGAAGTCCGTGGACAGCGCCAGGTGGTTCACGCGGTGGGCGTGGGCGGACAAGGTCTGGATCAGGGTGCCGTTCTCCGCGTTCCACACCTTGACCGTCTTGTCGTGCGAGGCCGTGTAGATCTTGCCCGTGCCGCCCCACTTGACGCAGGTGACCGAGCCCTTGTGGCCGGTGAGAACCATATCGATGCGCTTGCTGACCACGTCCCAGACGCGGACCGTCGAGTCCTTGGAGGCGGACGCCAGGCGCGGCCGCCCCGGCTGCTGTAGGTGATAGGGCTCCCACGCCAGGCTGGTGATCCACTTCGCATGGCCCTTCAACGGCGCCCCGAGCGCTGTGCCCTTTTTCGCGTCCCATACCCGCACCGTGTTGTCCATGCTGCCGGTCGCGATCATCGCGCCGTTGGGGGAGTAGCTGACCGCCAGCACCCAGCTAGTGTGACCCTTCAAGGTATGCAGGGGGGTTCCGGTGTCGCAGTCCCAGATTCGGGCCGTTGAGTCACCGCTGCCGGTGACCATGGTGGACGAATTGACGGGGGAGAAGGAGGTGGCCAGAATCGCTTCCCCGTGTCCGGCGATGGAAGCAGAGCATCGCGAGACCGCCTTGACTCGGAAAACCGCCTGCGGCGTGTAGTAGAGGTGAACGGTATCTTCGGTGGTCTTGAGGCCCGGCTTGAGCAGCGAGTGGTACAGATGTGTTAGAATGTCGATCGTCTGATTGTCCTTATCGTCCGACTGGTAGGTAAATCGGTATGGCACCCGCTCATCATCTTCCTGTGTTTTTTTGCGAAGGAGCGGAAATTAGTATATCTGGTATGAGGTCACCATCTTCGCAAGTGTGTCGCGTACCTACATTGCCTTGTAGGGTATTGAGTAGCGTCTCCAAGTTCTTCACGTTGGCATCGGCCACTGGGACGGACACTGCTGGTCCGGTTGGCGCTCCTGTCGCTTGGTCGAAAAACTGCACTCGGACACTGCCCAGATTCTCCGGGATGCTCTCGATCTCTTGCTGAAGACGGGCCTTCTCGGCAATCTCCGTCTTCTGACGCTTGGTAGGAGGAGGCAGAAGAGTCGCCATTGTGAGAGTGATCTGGGGGGGGGGGGTTTGTTGTGTGAAGGTCTTCTAGCCTTTTAGAAAAAAAAATCGATAAAGAATCCCGGGCGGACTGACTTATCGCTGCCGTGGGGGAAGATCGGCACTATCCCGCTTTCGGACATCGGAGCATCCCCCATGCTTGTGAGGAGTATGATTGCATTTAAATGGCCTTCATCCTTCATTCATCTGGAGACCAGCAATGTTCACTCGGTCCGACTCACTAAATTACCACATCTCCATAACTTATCCCACCCCAATATGGATGACTCAACGCAATCGATGATTCGGGAGCACATCATTCGCCAGATTCGAGAGGTCCTTTCTCAGTTTCTGCCGAGTGTCGGCTCAGATACCATGCGAATACTTGGTGTCACTCCAAATAGTATTCTTGAGCCCAGAAATTACTTAGAATCCATACGTCCAATTGTCTCAGAGATTGAAGAGTACCTTCAGAACAATCGTCCGGATATCAAGACTCGTTTCGTTGCTGCTAAAATCTTCCGCGGGAAGACCTATTTTCTACTCGACCTCAATATTGCTGATTATAACTATGAAACTGCTCATGATTGCAAGATGTTAATCCCTGTTTACGTCCTTCGTCTATCGAAAAGACAGCCTACAATTCTTCGAAAACCGGAGCTGGATGGAACGGTCGCTAAGGTTCTTAGGAACATGCACAATCTCCAAGACCAGGACCCTCTACCTTTATTTGACAACCATTATGATGAGAATCTTCAATACCCCAACCCCCGCCGCCCGCAATTTGGGTACTGAGTCGGTTTCGTGACTGTCTTTGGGAGGTCCTATGTGGCCAGAGAACGGCATCATCAAGAGGTCATATCATATCAAGTAGGTCTGAGCTCCTATGGAAAACATACATAGTATATTACTCAGTATTCTTAGTAACATAAGCAGAGGAAGCCTCCCTCAGCACCTCTGTAAGTGAGTTAATCCTAATCAATAGCAAGAGTTTTTTGAAGCAAAAAATGAGGGTTGTGTATGTAAGCTGTATATAAAACCAGCGGCCATGCCGGAAGTACGTGGCTCTCTTCAACATGAGATAGTCTCATTCACTAATAGGGGGTTGATCAGACAGACTTCTTAGGACTGGGAGCGCGCCGGGATCAATCACGTGTAGCTCTTACCAATTGGGCAAGACTTCTACCTCACTGAAGAACTTGCGCACCAAGACTGCATACTCTCCAGGCAAACACTATGGCCTCCATCTACTCCAGGGCTTCCTCGGTGGGCGCTACAGGTTCATTCGTCGCCCTCACCCGAGCAAGTAGTTCGCGGCCGCGAACAGCAACACGACCGACAACCTCGGCGACGAGCGTCGCATCCCAAGATATTGTCTGTGCAGTCAGCGAGTCTCGCGGCGTCACAGCTACGGTTGGCTTGGCCTTCGTCAATCTCTCTACTGCAGAGGCGGTTCTATGTCAGATTTGCGACAATCAGACCTATGTCAAGACCGTCACGAAGATTGGCGTGTATGAGCCCACGGAGATTCTCCTAATGAATAGTGCTCAGGAATCCAAACTCGCCTATATACTCAAGGAGAACATCCCAGACACAACGTTCACTTCAGTGGACCGGAAGTTCTGGTCCGAAACAATGGGCCACGAATACGTGGAGAGACTGGCTTTCTCAGAAGATGTCGAACCCATCAAGATGGTCCTGGAGGGGAACTATTTTGCCTCTTGCTGTTTTGCTGCCGTATGTGCTCACAGGAGGGTCGAGGATGAGCGAAACAGTCATTGATCCTTGACAGGTTCTGAAATACGTCGAGGTAGAACTCAACAAGGCTTTCACCTGCCATTCTCTGCGAATCAAATACGAGCCATCTCAGGGTGCAATGTCGATTGACTTATCTACTATTGTATCTTTGGAGCTCACTCAGAACCTACAGGTTGCGAGGTCAAAGGATAGCCTTTTCGGACTACTCAACGAGACACTGACTCCCATGGGCACACGGCTGCTCAGGGCCAATATTCTGCAGCCTTCTACCGATGAATTGCAGCTACTTGCCCGCTACGACGCAGTCGAGGACCTGGCCACCAAAGAGGATATGTTTGTTTCCATCAGACAGGGTTAGTGATTGGCTGCTTAAGTTCTCTTCTGCGCTGACATATCCATGGATAAAGCCCTCAAGGGTTACCTTGACGTCGACAAGGCTTTGACTTCAGTGAGTGGAGTTCGAGCCGAACTTACAGGCAAGAATTAACCGCCTAGCTTATCCTTATCCCTACCACACGAGCAATCGGATACGTCGAGCAATCTGTAAACAATGTCATCATGGTCAAAACATATGTCTCATCCATCAAGTCGATATACAAGGCACTTGCTCCGGCTCAGAGTAATCTGCTCCTCAACATCAGAGAGGTAGAGTCTAGTCAGCTTCATGAAATTTCAGGCTAATCACAGTCTCTAGCTGTGCGCCCCGGAAGGTCATCAAGCACTGGAGCAGCTGATTTACGAAACTCTGAACGAAGAAGTCACCTACCAGACGAAGCCACTCGACCTCAGGAATCAAAGGATATACTGCGTCAGGGTAACGGTCCTTTCCCGTGCTCCACTATTTGAGCTGACCACTTCGATCTCCAATCCGGATCCCAGGCTGGGGTCAATAGCTTGCTTGATGTCGCAAGGCAGGCTTATAAAGAGGCCAATACAGACGCTACGGAGCTGGTCACTGCTCTAGCGGGCAAGTGCCATCCCCAAACTATCTTGCGTCGAGTATCTCTCTGACGCCTGTAGAATGCCATGACCTTGTTCTCGATCTGAAGTATGATAGAGCCCGCCAATACTACATCAGCATTCCAACCACAGAGACCCATACACTACCCGAGGTCTTCATCAATGTCTACCGCAAGAAGAACCGCATCGAATGCCAGACGCTCGATCTCGTCAAGCTGAACCACAAGATCCGAGACGCGCACAACGAAGTGATCAACATGAGCGACGAGACGGTCCAGGATCTGATCGCGAGCATCTGCTCCGAGGTATCGAGTCTGTTCAAGATCAGCGAGGCCATCGCCATTCTCGACATGCTAGCCTCTTTCGCACAGTTAGCCACGAGCCGTGAGTACATTCGCCCGGAGATCACCAACGTGCTCGCCATCAAAGCCGGCCGCCACCCGATCCGCGAGAAGATCCACGCGAAGAAATTCATCCCGAACGACGTCTACGCGACGCCGCAGACGCGGTTCAACGTCATCACGGGCTGCAACATGAGCGGCAAGTCGACCTACATCCGGTCGATCGCCCTGATGACCGTGATGGCCCAGATCGGATGCTTCGTGCCGGCGGAGTATGCCTCGTTCCCCATCATCCACCAGCTGTTCGCGCGGGTCGCCACCGCGGACGACGTCGAGGCCAACGTCTCCACCTTCGCCGCCGAGATGCGCGAGATGGCGTTCATCCTGCGCAACGTCCAGCCCGAGCAGCCGAGCATGGTGATCGTCGACGAGCTCGGCCGCGGCACCAGCACCGCCGACGGCCTGGCCATCGCCATCGCCATCGCCGAGGCGCTGGTCGTGAGCCACGCCCTGGTCTGGTTCGTGACGCACTTCCGCGATCTGGCGGTCATCCTGGGCGAGCGCAGCGGCGTTGCCAGCCTCCATCTGGCCGCCGAGATCAGCCCCGACGCGTCCAAGATGACCATGCTCTACAGGGTCGCCGAGGGACCCGACACCACGCGCTTCTACGGCCTGGCCTTAGCCAAGCTGGTCGACCTCCCGCCGGGTGTCCTCGAGACGGCGCAGGAGGTCGCTGAGAATTTGGACCGCATGGCCAGGCGTCGGCACGCGAAGACCCGCGCATTGGCCGTCACCCGCAGGCGCAATCTGATCCTTTCGCTCAGGGAACAGTTGCTGTTGGCGCGGGATGGGACCCTGGGTAACAAGGCTCTTTGGCGGTGGCTGAAGCGTCTCCAGGATGAGTTTCTCCTGCGCATGGCCGCGATTGACGGGGATGCGGCGGAGGTTAGTGGTGATGATGGCGCTGAAGACGATGCTGAAGACGATGCTGAAGACGATGCTGAAGACGATGCTGAAGACGATACTGACGACAATACTGAAGACGACGCTGAAGACGACGCTGACGATGATGCTACCCATGATACTGAAGACGACGATACTGATGAAGCTGAAGTTCATAAAGGTGAGAGACCCGAAAACTCGATGGATCGGGAAGCGCCTGAGGATAGCCTGAGCTGGTCGGAATAATGCGTTCGCGTTGACCCTGCCGGCAGAAATATAGCACAACATCCGTAGGTTTAGCATTGTAGACCTACCGTACCTGCTGCCCAGTCTAATATAGGTTGAAGTATGTCCAGGGTGAAGAGGAATAGCAACATATATGTACAGTACCCGGTAGCACCTCCTGGTAGTATCCAGGCATTGAGTCACTCAGGGCGGATTCAAAGAATCTCTACATCTGTCCGGTGTCTGGTGGTATTACTTCGATCTTTCTAGTCGCCTGCCTAACAAGGCCCCAGCTCATCGTTCTCTCGCAACCACAAGGCCACTATAGACAGACCTTCGCAAAGAGAAAAACAGTCTCTTTGGCCTCCAGTACTGATCGTCCTCCTATCTCAAGCAGAAGATTATAGCTACTTGTGTTACGGGAAAGCAAAATATACAATATGAAAACTCTACTTTTTTTTGTATCCTTAAACAAGTCCCCGAGCCAACTCTGAGTGAAACAACACGCTTAATAACAGGCTCAAACATGACAAAAGAATTCTTCAGAAGATGGAGGTACAGAGCTCGTGGGTGTGTGGGTGTAAATCGTCTATGTAGATAGATACATACTGAGTGTATCAGGTTTGCGGAGAAAGACGGATATTCCCCCAAATTATCCGAAGTGGAACAAGGTCTGTTTTCCTTTCTTGCCTTTGCCCTTCTTGCCTCCGACAGCAGGGAAGTCCTCGTCCTCCGCGGTGGAGTTGGCGCCGGAGTCGTTACGGGACGAGGAGCTCCAGGCGTTCACCTGCGGTGCACGGTTGTCCCAGCGGACGGTGCCGCGGGTGAGACCTGCCATGAGGACGTTGGGTTTGGGCGCGGCGGGGAGGGCTGGGAAAGCGTCGGCGCTCCTGGTTTGGGCCGGCCGGGAGGTGGCGGGAGCGGCGGAGCGAGTGGAGTAGGTGCGGGGGGTGATGGAGGGCGAGGGGGCGGCGGAAGTGGGTACTGCTGCTGAACTTGCCCACGGGGTAGATGAAGCTGGCTTGGATCGCGGGGCAGAGCGAGCCGTCGCAGAGGAAAGGGGAGGGAAAGCACTGGCCGAAGAGGACCCGGAGGGCATGGCACCACTTCTGCCGACAGCGGATCGGGAGGACTGCGCAGTGGAGGATTTGAGACGCAGGACACGCTTTCCTCCCACGCCGCTGCCATTGACGGTTCCTGGCGACATGCCGGGGATAGTCCCGCCAGGGCCGGGGAGGGCAGGATAGTCTTCGTTGATCGCACGCCAGTCGTTCCAGGATTTCAGCAATGCATTGCGCTTGTTGTCGTCTTCGTAGATCTCGGCGAGCTCTTTGATCAGTTTACCGAGCTCGGTGCTGGAAGTGTCAAAGAGGGAGAAGAAAGCGTCGATTAGCTCGGTGGCCGAGATGGAGGAAGTGCGATAGCTGGAAACTCTGGTGCGGAATTCGTTGAGTTTGTTCCTATCATTGCCGAGCAGATTCGAGGCGCGTTCTACGACGGCAGCATGGCGCAGGCGGCGTGCTTGTTCCTGAGGGGAGACGGGGCCCGCATCTGCGTTCAGATTGAGGTCGCTCATTTCAGCAACGGGCATGGATGCGGCCGGAGGCGTCTGCACAGGCGTGGCAGC